CATGACACCGCCAGGCCGCCATGACACCGCCAGGCCGCCATGACACCACCCCCAACCGCCCCAGCCCCGCCCCCAACCGCCGTAACCCCGCCCCCCTCCCCTCCGCCGCTTCTTATTGGCTGGCGAGGCAGAATTTTAAACTCTTTTGCCCGCCCCTAAGCAACCGCATCCATCCCGGCGTTCCCATTGGCTCTCGTGCGGAGCGGCCCGCTCGCTGATTGGCCACGCGGCTCGACCAGTGCCGGCAGCCGCCGCAGCGCTGCTACTTTCAAAAGAGCCGGGGCCGGCGGCGGCTGCGTGCAGGTGAGCGGCGGTGGGATGCATTAGCCTGGAATTCCCGTTTGTGACCCCCTGGTTTTATTCCTACCTACGTGTGGAGCTCCGTCTTGTGTCACTGGGTGCTGAGCTGGGCCCTTGCTCTATAGGCACCGAGACCTCGTGGAGGGAAGGAGGGGTGGGGAGGTCCCACTGCACCCCTCTCCCCATATCTCTTTGCTTCTCCCACCCCCCTCGGTGCTTCCCGATGTTTGGGCCTCTCTGCGGGGCTGGGAGGGCGCCTCTGAGCTTGCTATTGGTTGCATTGGGCCCTGCAGCCCTTTCGCTGCGGGTGTGCGGTGAGATTTGTATCCCCTCCCCCCCTCATAACTGTGCCCACCCCCCTCTTTGCTCGCAGAGGCCGAGGAGGAGGATGCCGGTGGCACGCAGCAGCAAGGCACAGAGCAGCAAGCAGCCCCGAGCCAGCAAGGCGCCCTCTGTTACTGAGAATGTCCCCCAAGAGAAGGTATGGCTGTGGGTTATGGCAGTTTGGGCTCCCTGTGGGGTGCCCCCAGCCCCACATAACTGGCTGTGTTGCAGGAGGAGGGCTGCCAGGCCAAACGCTCCCCATCCTCACCCCAGGGAGGACCCAAGAAGAGGTCAGCGTTTGGGGACATCACCAATGTGAGTGCATTGCTGTGCTCCCAGCCCCCTCACCCATCCTTCCCCCAGAAGCACAGATGAGCCTCACCTTATCTCTTTGCTATGTTTTCGTCTCTTTTCCCCCCAAAACCAGGCTCACAAGAACCAGACAGTGACAGGGAAGAAGGAGGGGGTCAAAGCTCCCACCCACAAAGCAACCAGGGCCCCCCCTGCCCCGATAGTGGCCAAGAACAATGAGATCAACCTGAAAAAGTGAGTACCCAGGTGAGATGGGAGCAGGGTATGGGGACCAGCACCCACTCACAGCCATCCCTGTGGTGTTGGGGTTTCCCTGGGGTGCTGGAGTACATGAGCAGGATGGGGGTGGGCAGGAGTTAGATGGGGCTTTTTGGAGACCCAGGAGATGTCTCCCTTCTGATGTTTTTGTCCTATCCAGGTCCTTGAGGAAAACCCCCCCAACAGATGTTCCTGTGGAGCCCGAGAAAGATTCTGTGTCTGAGGAGCCTGTGCAGGTATGAAGCTGTCCCAGGTGATGGACTCCAGGCTGTAACCTGGCCCCCAGCTCTATTCTAGAGGTACTGGGGCATCTCTGGAAGCTGTTCAGTGTGCTGGGATGGGAGCTGGAGGCTAAACCTGCTCCTAGGAGCCTCTCCAATGGGAAAGAGAGGAGTGACTGCTGTGGGTCAGCTTGGAGAGAGGGTGTGCTACCCTGAAGAGCTCTTGCAAGCTTTCCCCATGCCTGTTCTCACTGCTGCCTTCTCCACACAGCAGGTCCTAGTGGTGGAAGATATAGACAAGGAGCAGCTGGGAGACCCCTATGCCAATGCAGAGTATGCCAAGGAGATCTTTGACTACATGCGAGAGAGGGAGGTGGGTGATGAGTGATGTCTGCCTGGGGAGTCCTGCGTGGGGTGGGAGGGGGCTCATTTTGGGAGGGAGTCCCTGACTTCTGCTGCCTTGACAGGAAAAGTTCCAGCTCCCTGATTACATGGAGAAGCAGCCAGATATCAGCAGGGACATGCGTGCCATCCTGGTGGACTGGATGGTGGAGGTGCAGGTAGGCAGGCATGGGGAGGGGGCTTGGATTTGTCCCATGTTTTATATAAGGCGGGAGCCACTCCGGACCTACGAACGTCCCCAGTTCAGAGCTCCTCCTCATCCCCTTCCCCATGCTGATGACGAGGCTGTGAACGCCCCAGAAATTCAGGCTTTTGCCCATCGCCTCATATCATTGCAGGAAAACTTCGAGCTGAACCATGAGACACTGTACCTGGCAGTGAAGCTGGTGGACCACTACCTGGTGGAGGTGGTGAGCATGAGAGACAAGCTGCAGCTCATTGGCTCCACTGCTGTCCTCATTGCCTCCAAATTTGAGGTGAATCTTGGGTGTGGGTTTTGGAGAGCTGGGGCTCTAAAGCCCTGGGGTGGCTCACCCATCCTTGTGCTGCCCCTTCCTGTGCCAAGGGATGAATCCTGCCTACTGGAGACCTGGCTCCTCTCTGCTGTTTGGAGACTGCCAGGGTACCGGGGTGTCACCATATGATGCTCCTGGCAGGAGATGTACCCTGAGAAGGCCTGATAATTGCATAGGCTCCCCCCAAATGTTATCAGGATGAGTTCTGAGCAGTTCCTCCCTGCAGGAGCGCTGCCCTCCGTGCGTGGATGACTTCCTGTACATCTGCGACGATGCCTACAAGAGGGAAGAGCTCATTGCCATGGAGACGAGCATCCTCCGCACCCTCAACTTCGACATCAACATCCCCATCCCCTACCGCTTCCTGCGGCGCTTTGCCAAGGTGGGGCTCGGCCACCTCCCATGGGCTGTGACACAAAGGGAGGGAGAGAAAGGGAGGGTTAGGGGTGATGGCGTTGACCTGAGGGCTTGGGATCTGCATCCGGTGCCCCAGAAAGAAGGATGCTGGGGTGGTGCTGCTTAAATCTGAGCCTTCTGCCCACAGTGCGCCCGTGCCTCGATGGAGACGCTGACTCTGGCCCGTTTCCTCTGTGAGATGACCCTGCAGGAGTACGACTACGCACGGGAGCGTCCCTCCAAGCTGGCTGCCAGCAGTTTGCTGTTGGCGCTCACCATGAAGAACCTGGGTGGCTGGGTGAGCGTGGGAACGTGGGAAGGGATGGAGGGCCGAGGTGACAGAGCAGGGCTGGCTGTGGCTTACCCCTCGTCGCTCCGCAGACCCCCACTCTGGAGTATTACAGCGGGTACTGCGCTCAGGATCTGCACCCCTTGGTGAAAAGGTTGAATTTTCTGCTCACCTATCAGCCCTGTGACAAGCTGAAGGCTGTACGCACCAAGTACTCACACAGGTGAGTATGCCAGCAGCCCCTGGGGGCTCTCCTGGGGGTGCCAGGGCTGCTGCAGAGCTCTGTAACCCCACACAACTCCTTGCAGGGTCTTCTTTGAGGTCGCCAAGACAACCCCCATGGACATGATGAAGCTGGAGGAGAAGTTGAAAAGCTAGCCCTGCCTCTGTACATAGCCTGTAAATAGCGGGGTGGGAGCACTGTGTACATAAAAGGGGGGAGAAAACAAAAAACCAAACCCAAACACTGTTTTTACTGAATGGGGAAAAAAAAAAAAAAGTGATGTAGAGCTGTCAATAAAATATTGTGTATATCTTAATGTGGTTGTAGTAGGGGCTGCACGTGGAGGGGATGCAGGGATAAAGGAGGGGCTGGAAGGGTGCCTGGGTCCCATCTTCTTTCTGTCCCCAAGCAGTGATTTGACACCAGCAGCAGCAATAAATATCTTTTCTCCAAATATTTACACAGCTTAAATACCAACATAGAGAAAGGGGGAGATCTTTTTGCTTTGGCCCCATACTGCAGCCCAGCTCCCTGGCTCCTGTAGTGACCCTGCACCCGCCGGCACCTTCAGCCCCCGAGGCTCAGGGAGAAGCAGCAGCTCCAGGGATGCTGGGGGGACAAACAGACAAAGCAAGGCAAGCGGGGAGGGGGGAGAGGGTTCCATACACACACACACGCGCACAGGGGGCAGCAGGGACCCAGGCCCCCCAGCTCCTGGCAGCCTAGGGTGGGTTGCTGAGCTCCTTAATGGCTTGCAGGATTCTCTTCATGTGGCCGACTTTGGTGATGCCCAGGTCCTGTGGTTGGGGAGAGAGGAGCTGCAAAGCTTTGCTCCCCTGAGTGGAGCACAGGCATGGTGCTGGTGAACCAGGGGCTGGGGCCAGCTCCCTCCCCACCGTTGTGTCCCCCCTGATAGGGGACAATGAGGTTGAAGGAGGGAGGGGGACACAGTGCTATCTTGTGCTGAGATCTAGGAGGTGGAAACGGGCTGCGGTACCTTCAGGTCTCTCCTCTCCAGCAGGATCAGCTCTGAGCCCTGGATGTCGTGTCGGATAAAAATCTCTCTGTATTCCCCTAACCCAAGTGTTTCCAGCCAGGCGGCCACCTCCTCAGCACCCCACTTGTCCGCTAGAAGGGAGAGAAACCCCAGAAGTGAAGCAGGGCACTGGAACGCAAGTGTGGCAGATGCTGCCCCTTGTTCCCTCCACCTCTTCATGGGGCTCTTTCACTTCTCTATGGAGTATCCAACCATCTCCCTTTGCCCAATCAGCCTGCCGTGGGGCTGAGCTCTACTGCAGCTCCTTCTCTCATCCCGTTGTACGTGCAGCTCCTTTACCTGGGAGCGCGCTGTTGCTCTTTTGCTTCTGTGCCTTGTCCTTCCTGGGCTTGGGGATGTTGAGGCGAAGTTTGAAGCTGCCCTTATTGGCACTGCTGGCACTCTCCTGCAAGAAACAGGGCTGAGCCCACCCTTACACCCAACACAGCCCCCCCCCCCCACCATTATGCACCCACCTCCTCGCTGGGGTGGGCGATGGGTCCCAGCCAGTGGATGTCCAACAGCCGCTGCAGCTCCTGGCCCAATGCGCTTAGGGGGCCTTGTAGTGCTTCCTCCTCCAGGGGTGAGTCCAGCTGTGGGGGACAGGGACCGTCCCCAGCCCCAGTGCCACCTGCTGGCAGGGGGGACAGCTGGGCTGGAGGGCTCGGGGGGGTCCTCAGCCCCGCACTCACCGCCTTCCCCTCCAGGAACGCTCTGGTCTCGGTATAGAGAGCTTTGATGCTCAGCACCACCTCCACAGCTGCGTTCCTGCTGAGAAACTGTGGGGGGACAGGGGGTGAGCACAAAGCCAAGGGACTGCCAGGATGGGGATTTGACGCCCCCAACCCTGCTCACCTCGGGGGTGCCGGCAGCTTTGTTGCAAAGCGCATCGCTCAGCGCCGAGGTGCTGGTATTGACGGCGTGTGCCAGCTCCTGTTCCACGCCTTTGTGCGCCTTGGCTGCCTCACGGATCCTGCAGCAGGGATGGGATGGAGCCAGAGTGTCCCTGTGCCCCCAGCAGCCCCTCGCCCCCATCCTGACCTGGCAATGAGGGTCTCAGCCACGCGTGACAGCTGCTGCAGCAAGCTGCTCTCCTCCTCGGTCAGGTACTCCATGGACTGCTGTGAGCTGAGCCGTGGCCGCGCGGCTGTACGGTAGCTCTCCCCCTTCTGTTTGTCCTCCCATGACTTCAAGGTGCTTTCAAACGCCTGCAGGGGCACAGAGGTCCCAACCCTGCTCGCCCCACAACCCCACAGCCCATCCCGCAGGGCTCACCCGGTCCCTGGTCAGCATCTGTGCCCTGTTCTTGTGCTGGATCCGGATGACGCCGGGCGGTTGGATCCATGCTTCCCCATCCACCTGCACCGGGACGCCCTCATCCCCACGGATGGTGATCTTCACCACGCGGCACTGCGGGGCAGACAGGGCTGGCACCGGGGCCGGCAGAGAGCGGCACTGTGCGAGGCTCCCCCCGGCCCTACCTGTGCGATGCGGTGGTGCTGCAGGTTGATGACCCGTGACACGGCCATCTGGATGCTGCCAAACACAGCCACCACCTCCAGCTTCTTGTCGTCGAAGGACGGCGCGCCGAAGTTCTGCATGGGAACAGCCCCGCCACGCTGGGCTCAGTGCCCCCTGCCCCAGTGACAGAGAGGTTTTCCGTCCCCCCCTCAGCTCGCACTCACGTTGTCCTCCTTGGTGCCACCCCAAAAATTGATGCCCCCTGCGTAGCTGGGGATGTTGAGCACGGCGATGCCCTGCAGGCTGGGCAGCGAGATGGGTACCCCGTCGCACTGCAAGAGAGGGCTGAGCCTGGGGGGCCACCCCGCTGCCCCCACCCCAGCCCCGCTCCCAGCCCTGACCCCATACCTCCAGCTGCACCCGCTGCTCCAGGTTCTTGTAGGTGCGCTGCAGCAGCTCCTTGGTGCCCAGCACCCCGTACCACATCATGTTCTTGGTGCGGCTGCTGCGGGGTGCCGTGGGGGGGGGTGAATGGCCACCGGCCCCACAGCATCCCAGTGATCCCACCCAGCATCCCAGCAGTATCTCAGTATCCCAGTGCTCCTCCCCATCATCCCACTATCCTGGCATCCCAGTAATTTCTTCCCAGTGGTCCCTCCTTGCATCCTAATGGTCCCTTTCAGCAACCTTTTGGTCCATCCTGGCATCTTTCCTGGCATCCCCATATTCCCTTCCAGCATCCCAATGGTCCCTTCCAGCATCCCAGTGCTCCCTCCCAGTGTCCCAGTGGCATCCCAGTGGCCCTTCCCAGCATCCTGGCATCCCTGTGATCCTTCCTGGCACCTTGACAATCCCTCCCAGCAATCTCTTCCCAGCATCCTGGCAACCCAGTAGTCCTTTCCAGCATCCCAGTGAACCATCCCAGCAATCCCTCCCCACACGGGCACCATGGAGCTGGGCTGGGGGGAACCCACACATCCCACACTTTTCCCAGGGGAGTCTCTCAGCCAACCTGCACTTCTTAGGGTGCTCATCCCTCTTGTTGTTGAACTCCAGGGAGATCTTGGCATCCAGGCCAATGCCAAAGTAGTTGTTCATGACACATTTTTCCGAGAAGTGCCTGAAAGCAGCGGGGCTGGCACCAGGACACGAAGCAAAAACCCAACAGAGCCCCACGGTGACCCCAAACTCACAGCACACTGGGATCCTCGGGGAATTGTAAGCTGCCAAAGGTGTCCGGTCGCTCCAGGAGGATGGATGAGGTGGCCGAGGTCACCGTCTCCCGCCGAGAGCCTGCAGGGTGGGTTGGAGGTGGCTGCTGAGTGAGCCCACCCCACTGCTCCCCTCGAAGCCCCCCTTAAAAGATGCTGCGTGCCAAATGGGAGCCTTACAGAGCCGTTCCTCCTCCTTGTTGAGCTCCTCTGAGCTGTCCTTCTTGCTGGGAACCACGGTGGCCTGATATGCTTGGGTCTGCTTGTTCTGCTCATCCACGGCTGGGGGGCAAACACAGCACAGCGGTGGGGCCAGAGCACCCCCCCCCCCCGCATCCCAACAGCTGCCCCCAGCCCCAGGGCATTGCCACAGCCTGCCCCAGCCTTTGGATCACCCTGGAGAGGGACGATGCTCCTTTGGGATTGCACAGTGATGAACATTCAGAGGGCAAACTGAGGCACGGCTCTTCCCCGTGCCACCCCCTCACCTCTCTCAGCCTGCTCGATGATCTGCCGCAGGGCTTTCTTCAGGCTGTTGGCCCGCAGCATCAGCTGCTCCTTGGATTTGAAGATGCGGGGCACAGGGCTGGGGGCGAAGCCACCTTTCTCCAGCTCCTTGGCATCGGTCGGGGTGCCCTGCGGGGTCCCCTCAGGGACCACGATGGCCTGAGCCTCCTCGGTCAGCTCCCTCACCAGCGAGTCCAGCTTCTCATTCAGCATGGCGCACTGTGGGGTGGCCACGCGCTCAGCCCTCTGCCTGGCACCCCAAGGCACGGGAACCCCAAGGGATGGGCACCCCAAATCCCGTGCTGTTCTGGACACCCCATGTTTGCTTGGGTACCCAGTTGTTTGAGCATCCCATGCTTGCCCGACCACCCAAACGCCTGGATGCCACGTGCTTACCTCGGTACCCCAAGTGCTGGGCATCTCTGAGCACCCCAACTGCCTGGAAATCCTGAATATTTGGGCACCCCATGCTTCCCCGAGTACCCCAAGTGCTTGGGCACCCTTCAACACCCTGAGTGCCTGGGCACCAGATGCTTACCTGGAAATCCTGTGTATTTGGGTTTGCAATCGAAGTGCCTGGGACCCTAAGAACTTGAGCACCCAGCTTCCTGGGTACTCTGGGCACCCCAAGTGCTTCACTATCCCATACTCTCCTGAGCACCCCACGAGCTTGGGCACCCCTATGGCATGCACACCCCCAGCAGCCCCCCACCACCCCCACGCCCACCTTTCTGGCCATCAGCTCTGCCTCCTGTTTGTTCTCAGTTGCCCTCTTGTAGGCACGGCCAACTTCAGCCACGAAATCATTGACGGTGCCGCAGAGGAATCTGACAAGGGAAGCAGTCAGGGAGTCATGGGACCAGTGGGGTCCTGGGGGGACCCATCCCCAGCAGCCCATCCCCAGCAACCCCGTACTTGGCAGATGAAATCACCACTGAATGCTTGTCCGACTCCAAGATCTTGGCCAGGTGGAAGGCAACGGAGTCGGCGTAGTGGGAGATGTGGGCCTGGGGAGAGGACAGCTGGATGGGTGTCCCAAGCCAGGATGGGGACATGGCGCTGTGTCCATCCCCTCAGTACAGGGACGCACAGCAGTCCGAGCCCCGCCATGCTCACCCCAAGCCACGTTGCCCCCTTCCCACAACATCCCCCATCCAACATCACTTCAGGGTGGCAGGGACCCGTCCCCACAAGTGCCCACCTGGATGTTGGAGTCTCCATCCTCCTCCTCCTTCAGGGCTGGTGGAGACTGCTTGGGGGCTTCGTAGGTCAGCACGCTCCACCTGCCAAGCAGAGAGCAGGGATGCCACAATCCCCTGGCCCCATCTGTCACGCAGGGATGCCCAGGTCTCCCCAGAGCTCACCGGTCCAGCATCTTGGTGGTGGCCCTCTCCAGCTTCTCCAGGATTTGCAGCAGCTGCGTATCGTCATCGCAGAGGCTGCCCCAGCCCAGCACCCGTGCCAGGTCATTACCAGTGCCCAGGGGCAGGACGCCCAGCTGACACTGCAGGACAGGGACGGGGTTCAGCCCCGCACCCCCCCTGCGGGTACCCCACACCTCAGAGCTGCAGGGGACATCACCCCGCTGTCCCCATGGGGGGTGAGGACGGGGAGGTGGAAGTCCCTCAGCCCTGTTGTCCCCACGGGATGATGGGAGGTGGCAGCCCGCTGTCCCCATCGTTCCCGTTGTCCCCATTGTCTCCGTTGTCCCCCTGCCACCACTCACTTGCTTGTGCAGCCCCAGAGCATCGATCTCAGACAGCACCCACCCCACGCTGCCATCGCCGCCGCACACCAGGATGCGGAAAGTGGAGAACTTCTGGAAGAGGCGCAGCCTGGAAAAAGGGGGCAGAGGGGGCTGTGGGGTCCCGCTGGGCTCCTGCAGGTGACACCCACCTGCCAGCACTCACCCCAGGTGTGGGCCTCCATTCATGAGGTCGAAGACCTGGGCAGGGTTGAGGAACTGCTTGAATTTGCGCAGGAACTTGACGCCCTGGTTGTCCCCACTCTTGGAGTTGACAAAAGCCAGGAGGGGACTGGAGCAGGAGGAGGGACAGGTGGCCTTCCAGAACCCTGTGAGGACACACGGACATGAGCGCTGTCCCCAGCCCTGAAGGCATTGAAGGAGGCACCTCTGGAGATCAGAAGATGCCCTGACTGCATCCAGACCTACAGGCAGGAGGGGCTGTAAGCAGGGGCCTATGGGAATGCAGAGGGGTTGGAAAAGGAGGAGCAGGACACAGAGGTGGGATGAGATGGAGATGTGGACAGTGATAAGGATGGAGAAGGTAACAGGGACGGGGATGGGAATGGGGAAGGAAAAGGGGATGGAATGTTGATGGGATGGGATGGGATGGGATGGGATAGGAAAAGGCAGAGAGATAGGGTTGGAGATGGAATGAAGATGAGGTGGGATAGGATGGAGATGTGGAATGAGGATGGAAATGGGGAAGGAGATGGGATGGGGATGGGGATGGGAATGGAGAAGGAGAGGAGGATGAGACATAGATGGGATGGGATGGGATCAGATGGGGATGGGAAAAAGCATGGGCATGGAGATGGGGTTGGGGATGGAAGGGAGATGGTTTGGGATAGAGACAGAGATGGGAACGAGGATAGGAGTGGAAATGAGAGGAAGATGGGAATGAGGATGGAATGGACATGGGGAAGGAGATGGGATGGGAAAGGGAATGGGGCCAGCGACAGGCGAGGCTGTGCCAGGGCAGCACACAGGCCAATTTTGGTTCTTCCAGCACTGCCCCTGCAGGCACAGTGAGTCAGCGGGCTGGCTCCTGTCCCCAAGCTGCAGCCACCGCAATGGGCACAGAGGGGTCCGTCCCTCACTGCAGGGACCGACCCAGCACAACCAGGTGGGAATCCCCACCCAGATTCAGTGGCATTCGGTGGCCCTGGAAAACAGCCACTGCCAAAGGCTGCCCCCCCAACTCTGCAGATGACTCAGGGAGGTTGGCAGCCGGCAGCATGCTTTTAAAGAAATGAGATGGGGAATGCGATGTGCCCGCAGCACAGCATGGAAGGGGCTGGCCCACAGCCGGCTCAGGGACACCTCGGCCGCCCCATTCCCAGTCCCTGGGTTGGATGGAGCAGACACGGCTCTGAGGAGGGAGGAGAACCGCGTGACGGTTGCCCTGACAGCATCTCGATGAGTAACGAGCAGCAGATGAGCCACCGGCTGAGCGGAGCGGTGGAAATCATTAAAGAACACGAGAAGGAATATCCGGAGGAGAGGAACAGATTTCGCTTGGCTGAGGCCAGCTGGACCCCTCCGGATAGGGAAGCAGATAGGGCGAGGGAAGCGGTGTGGGAACATCCCTGGGTGGCATTCGTTCTGGAACCTACTGATGGCACGGTGCGTCCCCTCCCGACTCACCATCCGAGTCGATGCTGTTCAGGGCGGTGGGTGGGATGATGGACACTTTGTACTGCCCCAGGGGGCACCTCTTGCCGAACTGCTCCTTGCAGGCGCTGTGCACCTGGGGGGCATTTGTGTTAGCTGAGGGACGACCCCCAGCCTGGCTGTCCCCAGGGGATGCAGGGGGCACACGTCCTTACAATGGCTTTGCACCACAGGCACCTCCAGTCCTGCAGCCTCCGCACGCTGCCGCAGGTCCGGTCGCAGACGGCACAGCGTGCGCTCACGGGCAGGTTGCCCTCCAGCCACTGGTGGGGCATGGCCACCTGCGGGCAGGGACAACCATCAGTCCCCACGTCGTGCCCAGTGACGGCGGCCCCACGGTGGGGATGCTCACCCCGTCCTCGTCCTCGATGATCTCGCTGCCGATGGACGCCAGCGTGGTCCACTTGCAGTTGTTGGTGGCTCTGACGGCGCAGCGCTTGTGCGCTTTGAACTTGCACACTTGTGGGGTTTGGAAGAGCGGGTGAGGGGCGAGGACGGCCCCTGACCCCACCTTTCCCCCCTCCCCTTCCCCCCATAGGGCCCAGGGAACCCCTGGGTGCCCACCTTCACAGGAGAGGCCGTGGGAGGTGACCCCTGAGAGCGCCTCGCGGCACACATTGCAGAAGGTGGGTCTGGCATGGGAGCAGGCGTACCAGTTGTGCATGCCCGAGAAGTGTTCCATGTTGAACTGCGTGGCCTGTGGGCACAGCCCAGCTGCAGCCACGGCCCTGTGACTCCCTGGGCCCCCCCACATCCCAGTGACCCTTCCCAGCATCCTGCTATCCCAGCCATCCTTCCCGACAACACAACATCCCTGCAGTCCTTCCCAGCATCCCGCTATTTCAGCATCCCAGCATCTCACAGTCCCTTTGGTCCACCCCACCATCCCGATATCCCGACAGACCCTCCCAGTAGCCCATCATCATGGCACTGCCAGCCCTGGGGACCCACTCCCTGACCCCACAGCCATCCCACCTCGTGGATCTCCCACTTCTGCACTGACTTCAGGGCCCCGATCCAGTCCTCCATCTCTTTACGGTTCTCGGCACACAGGATGAGCTTGCGGAACGGCGTGATCACCTGCGACGAGCCACAGTGCCACAGCCCATCTCAAGGCCACCCCACAGAGAGCCGAACCCCACGGCAACCCACCTGAACCCCATGGCAGCCCACCCAAACCCCACGACAGCCCACCCAAACCCCACAGAAAGCCTCCGCCTCACTGTGAAGCTGTTGTTAATGTTCTTGGTGCTGGTCTCAGCCACGCTGGCATCAGACAGATCCACCTCATCAAAGATCAGGGACTGTGGGAACAAAGCAGGGCTCAGTACTGCTGCAAACCCAAACTCAGCTCAGCGGGGGCTCAGAACCCCCCCGGCCCACCTTAGCATCCTTGGCATAATAGAGCGTCCGGCCTCGCAGCTTGAAGTATCTCCGCTTCCACCTCTGGAAGGAGCTCGTCTGTTTCAGCAGCAGCCCCTCCTTCACACTCTTCTGTGGGGACATGGGGACATCAGCTCCCAGGACCCCCCACCAAGTGATATGGGATGGCAATAATGATCATGGGGACAGGAGGATGCACGGTGATGATGAGGGAACACTGGAGAATCCTGATGGTGATGGGTACGGGGGTGCAGGAGGCTTGGGGTGGTGATGGAGGGACACGGGGTGTCACGGTGATGTGAGGAGAGGGGCATGGGGGGATCCTGGCAGTGAGGAGCAGGGGGACATGGGGGGCTTTATGACAGGAAGGCACGTTGGACTGTGGGAAGTTGTAATGGTGAGGAGTGGGGGATATGGGGAGATGTTGGGGGGCTCATGGTGGGGGGAGAAGTAAGGGGACACGGTGAGCTCCTAATAAAGAGGAGCATGGCACATGGGGACCTCCTGGTGTGCAGGGGGATGCAGGGGGCTCTGGGTGGGAAGGAGCAGGGAGGGAACGGGGTGATCCTGATGCTCAGAAGCAGGGGTTGCAGCATGGTGCAGGCACAGCGGGGTCGGAGCCAGCACTGCAGCCCAGCTCTGCGTGGCTGGGGGCCAGGCGGGCAGCACGATCCTGCAGGGCGGGTGCCAGCACCGCAGCGGGAGCAGCTCTGAGCGATGCAGGGCTCGGGCAGGATGTGACCCGGCTGCTCAACCCGAAAAGCAGAGCCCTTTTCAATCCCCACCCCCAGGTCGAAACACCCCAAATCGGAGCAAAAAGCCCCAAAAGAAAGAGGAGGAGAGGGGGCTCGGCACGCATCACAGCACCAACCTGCATCTCACCAGCATCACCCCATGGGCACGCAGAGGGATCCGCCGGGTCTGACCCCGCACCACCAGAACGCCAGTAGGGTTGGGGCTGTGGGTGGCTGCAAACCTTATCAGCTGTGCAACACGACGGGCCCTTCCGGGCTCGGCCCCAGCCGTGCACCCCAACGCCGTGCCCTGCAGCCCTGCAGCCCCCAAACCCCGGCGCTGTGGGAACCCCTGCAAGGTTTCAGTGCCGGTGCCTGAAAAGGGGCTGCAGAATTAATGGGGGATGGCGATGCAGTGTGTGCAGAACGGAAAATGCGTCGGGGTGAGGCACCCCGCAGACATCCGGCTGCTGGCAACAGGCTATCTTGGTGGCCCAGGCACTGCCACCCCGTCCCCTCACGTCCCTGCAGGCTGGGAGCAATGTGGGGCACTGGGGCACGGATGGGCTCTGGTGCCGATGGTATCCCGTGAACCTGAGATGATGTCCCTGTGAGCTGACCAATGGAGCTCCCAGGGGGGGATCAGGGTGTTTCCATGGGGGGAACTCAGAGCACGCAGGGGACCCCGAAGTGTACAGGGGGACTGCAAAGCATACAGGGGATGTCATGATCCCCAAGAACACCAGGGACCCCAAAGCAGGTGGGGCAGCCCCAAAGAACACAAAGGACCTCATGGCGTGCAGAAGGACCCCAAAGCACATAATGGCCCCCCAAAGCATGCAGGGGGACCCCAAAGCACACAAGGGGGCCGCAAGGTATCCAGGTGACCTCGGAGCATGCAGGGGGACTCCAAAGCATGCAGAAGACCCCCAGGCATGAGGGGGAGTGCAAATCATATAGAGGGTCCCCAAAGCATGCAGCTGACTTAAGAGCATGCAGAGAACCCCAAGGGGCACGGGGGACATAAGGGCCTGCAAGCGATCCCCTAAAGAACACAGGGGGCCCCAAAGCACAAAGAGGGACCCCCAAAGTGAGCAGGGGCACATAGGGCTGCCTCAAGCACACAGGGGGACCCCAGAGTAAACGGGCAGCTGCCAGCAGCTCTCAGAGATGATTTGCAGCCCAGCATCTCTGCGGTGACGCTTCTCAGCCCAGCGCCACCAGTGCTGTCCCCTGGGTTACTCCAGCAGGTGACACCCCAGGACTGCTCTGCCAGTGCTGGGGGACGTTCCCATCCCCAGTTTCCCATTGATGCCCACAGCTCTCAAGGAAACCGGCAGCCCTCAGCCCCAGTGAGGAGGAGGAGGAGGAGGGGGTGGCAGCAACCCCCCTCCTGTACTGGGGCCATTCAGCCCTGCAGGGGCACCTGCGCCTGGCAGCTGTCATTGTCACTGAGTACAATGGCCTCAACGCCTCCGCGCCAGGGCCGGCACAAAGCGCCCCACGGGGAGCCCCGCAATTACAGCCCACGAGTTGGGGTGTGGGGGACGGGGGGCTGGGATGGATGGGGGTGGAGGCAGGGCTTTGCCAATTGGGGTGCAAGCTGATGGGGGTGGACGCAGAACGGATGGGGATGGGACATCCGCCCTGTCCTGTCCCCAGGAGAGACATCAGCACCATATGGGGGCACGCCGAACCCCAAGAGGTGGGGTGGAAACCCTAAAACCTCAGTAGCCCCCTGTTATCAGCAGCAGGGATGGCTGAGGACACCCAAAAATAGGTCTCCCCTCCTCGCTGCTAAACCAGGCATCTCTCGGGAACCACTGGGTTCTCCCTTATTAACTCTGTGCTAATTAGGACTGTGGGGTGCTGCCCCCCCCATTTGGCTGCATGGCGGCCACGCTGGATGCCATACGTGCTCCCTTTCCAGCACTGCCTCCTGCATGGTGAAGTGCCAGATGCTGCCACCCAGCCAGGGGGACAAGAGGACCCCACAACACCACCACGCACAGCACAGAGCCAGCGATCCCAAACAGCACCGGGGGCTCTGCCACCCCCAGACCCACACCGGCCTCCTGTCCCCATAGCAGCACCCCATATTTCCATCGGACCTACCAAACCGTCACGCCACACACAAGCTGCCAACCCGTAACCACGGCGGGGAGGAAATAAAACGAAGATTTGGGATCGGGGCTGACAGGAGGTGGGGGTCCCCTCACCTTGCTCCGCATCTGGCCCGAGGTGGACACCTTCCGGATGAGTTTGTGGGTGCTGCCCTCCTGCTCGCCCTCGCTGTCTGACGATTCCTCACCGCCCGCCTCGGGGGACACAGGGGACAGCTTGTCCGAGTCCAGGGATGACACGGATTCCCGTGCCTGCCGCAGGAACAGGTCGCCGGCCACCAGCTTCTCGGCCATCTTCAGGGGGGGTGGGGGGGGGGGGGACAGCCCTGAGGTGGGGAGATGGAGCCCTGAAATGGGGCACAGAGCCCCCGCGAGGTGGGAATCCATGGGGACGGTGCCATTGGGGTGCACAACTTCTCCCATTCCCTGTAACGTTTTTCCTCGTTTTGGTGCCCCATTGCTTGGTCCCCCCCGGTGACGTTGAGGTGCTGCCTCCCCCCCCCCCCCCCCCCCCGCAGCCCCCACCCATGGGTGCCTGTCCCTGGGGTGTGATGGGGGGAAAGGGGGGGGCTCTCCCACCTCAGGAAGGGATGAGGAGCTTCTAAGGTGAGATGGGGGCTCCCCATATGGAGTGTGCGTGGGGGGGGCACCCACCTGGCTGCACCACGGGGCACCCACTGCAGCCCCCCACCTCCCCCACATGCTCTGCCTCCTCCCCTCCGAACACCAAGCGTGGGCTGCCGATTTATGATGGGATGGGGGGAAGGGGGAGGAGGGGACCAAAGCAGCAGCACCGCAGTGCAGCCCCCCCACCGTTCTCCCCCCTCTCAATCCAACCGCAGATCCGCGCACCCGAACCGCTCCCCCCCCCCCCACCCCCATCCACCTCCCCCCCGTTTAAAAACCCACGGCACGCACCTTTGCAGCCGCCGCCGATGCCGATGCCGGCGCAAGGACGCTGTGCACCCCCCGGCCCCCCCCAGCACGACGCCTCTGCACGGCAGCCCCGGCCCAGCCCCTGCGCTGCAAGCCCCAGCCTGCACCGGCTGCCGCTCTGCCGCTCCGCCGCTCTGCTGCGCTGCGCTGCGCCGCGCGCGGGCGGCCCACGCGCGGCCCCGAGCACGCGCGCACACGCGGCGCCGCGCACATGCGTGTGCACCGCCCACGTGGAGCGGGGCGCGTGGAGTTGGGGAGGCGGAGGGGGACGCGCGTGGGAGCGCGAGGATCCGCACCCCCCCACGCGTGCACGGGCGTGGGGAGCGCGGTGAGGTGCCGGGCACGTGCGTGTGCATCCATTCACCTGTGCGTGCACGCTCGTGCACGCGTTCACGTGTGAGCGCGCACTCGTCTGTGCGTCCGTTCACCTGGCTGCGTGCGCACGCGTGTGCATCCGCTCACTTTTCTCCCCGCGCGTGCCCCCACGCCACCGGCCGTGTGTCCGTGCGGATGCTCACACGCGCGTCCACGCACCCACCCGCGTGTGCTCGCTCACCCGTACGGCCGTGCGTTGCGTTCGGCTGCGCTCTGAGCCCCGCTCACCTGCGCTCACCCACGCGCGCCCAGCCGCCCGCCCCCTCCGCGTTTCCTCCCCACGCACCGCCCCACGCGTGACATCTCCCCGCGGGTGCCACCCAGCGGCCGTCGCTGCCCTCGCAGCGTGGGGACACCGCGACCCCCCCAGCCCACCTCGACCTCCCCCCCGGGGCCGCTGTCCCCAGGTCAGCCCGGCGACATTGAGGACATCTGGGGACGCGGTGACAAAACACGCAGGACACCGTGGGACGGTCGTGCAGCGGCTGCTGCTCCTTTAGTGTGTGACAGGCACCAGGGCACCGCGTCCCCTCTCCGGGGGGACAGCACTCTTTGGTCCTAGCAGTGACCCCGCGCACGGCACCCCAAAATGTTTCCCATGTCCCCCCTCCTGCAGAACCCCTGTGCAAAATGAGCGTGGAGGGGACAGACGGACAGTAGGGACAGATGGAGGCAGAGGGACTAAGTGCTGTTTGGGGACACCGTGGCGCAGGCAGATTTGGGGACGGGAGCCCCGGTTTGTCCTTGGGGGAATTTTTTCCCCATATTCTTTCCTTCCGGTGCAGGTGACATTGCTGCACAGTGTCCCCATGGGCAACGGGGACACAGAACCGAGGGACCGGGGCCATTGTTCCCAACACAATGGGGAGGAAGAGGAGGCCGCATTCCTCTGCCTCCGGACAGACCAGACGGACTCACAGAACCGGACAGAACAGATGGACAGGAGGACAGAGGGCTTAACCCTTTGAGGCACGGGGTTGAAGGCACGCGGCGGGACGGGGGACACGGTGACACCCATCCCATGTGTCAAACGGTCAGCCTGGAGAATAAATATGTGAAAAAACAAACGAGATGGATGGGTGGATGGATGGACGGATGGATGGATGGATGGATGGATGGATGGATGGATGGATGGATGGATGATGGACGGATGGATGGACAGGGCTAGCAGCTGGTAGGAGCCTGGCCGAGGCTCTCCCGCAGGCAGCGCAGCTGCTCCTGCCCCAGCTTGATCTTCTCATCCAGCTCGCGCTGCTCGGCCGTCAGCGCCGACTTCATCTTGACGAAGTGCCGGTAGTCCTGCAGCTGCTCGGGGGGCAGATAGCGGGCCACCATGGCCCCCACCGCCTCCTCCCGCCGCCCCACGTGCTCCCGCAGCTCCTTGGCGTCCTCCAGCTGCGCCGCCAGCAGCCGCTGCTTCTCCCGCAGGGCCACCTGCAGACGACACCCAAAACATGAATCCCACGGCGCCGCCGCAGCCCGACCCCATGCGTCACCGCCGCTCCCATTGCACACCTTATCCTCGGAGGCGGCGTGCGGCCCCAGAGCGCTCAGCGCGTTCTCCACGCGCGCCAGGCGGCCCGAAAGGGACAGCAGCAGGTTGACCACCTTGTCCAGGTCCCCCACAAAGAGGCGGTACTTGTCGAACTCGCCCGGCGTGCAGAGCGCCTGCAGGCGGGCCGCCACCTCCTCGCCCAGCGCCCCGTTGGCGCTGATGTCCTCCTGCAGGCCCCGCTGCGCCTCCCGCAGCACCGCCAGCTTGCGGCTCAGGCTCTCCACCAGCTGCAGCTGTCAGGGGGATGGGGACAGATGGGTTTGGGGACCAACAATGGGGAACAGGGATGCAGGCACGTGGATGGAGCCGTGCAGTCAGCACTCTTGCATAGATCAGGGATGCAGCAAGCATTATTGCATGGATGGAAGCATGCAGCCGGCATCTTTGTACTGATGGAGACATGCAGCTGGCATCGCTGCATGGATGAAGGCATGCAGCTCCCATCCTTGCATGGACAGAGGCATGCAGCCAGAATCCATGCATGGATGAAGAGCAGCCTTGCAGAGTGAAGGGATGCAACCAACATCTTCGCACAGATCTTTGCACCCCGCAGCCAGCATTCCTGCACGAATGGAGCAGTGCAGCCAGCATCCTCCACCAAGAAACCCCCATCCCCGTTACCTTTTTCTCCACCAGCTCCCGCTCCAACTCCTCCTCCTCCTCTGAGCTCCCCTCCGCCACCTCCGGCAGCTCCTTCACCTTGCCCAGCAGCTCAGCTTTGCCATAATATGCTGCGTAGGAGGGGGGGCTGCCGGCGGCCCCGGAGGGAGGCGAGATGGGCTCGAAGCCCTGCCTGTAGGCACAGGGTCTCAGTGATAGGGACTCCACCATCCCCACGCTCCCAGGAGACACGGGCTGCCATCCCTACCTGTCCTGTGGCTCCTGGTGCCAATCCTGCTGGATCCGCTCCCTCCACGCCTGGCGATCCCCTGCTGCCAGCAGCTCGCCCATAACGGTGGCAGTGGTGACCGGAGGGGACACCAAGATGCCGGCCAAGGAGCGGTCCCTGCCCGCCACGTCCCACAGCAACTCCTCTGAATTCATGCGGCGGGGTTGGGGCCGCCCTCCCCGGGCGTTGGACCCCTCAGGGCTGCGGGAATGGGGTCTCCCTGGAGTGCCCATGGGGCTGGGAGTGGGCAGAGGGCACTCGCTGGACCAGCCCCGCTCCCGGCCCCTGCTGAGCCTTTGGGGGGGTTCCTCCTGTTCCCAGGGGTCCTTCGATATTGAGCACTCTTCCCTGACCCTGCGGACACAGTGGTGGGAACATCACCGCACGGGGACATGCAGGGAGGGAACGGAGAGGTCAGGGACCCCCTCCCCATCTGCACACCCCCCACAAGGGAACCCCCTGCGTCCCACCCAAACCAAGTGACGGAGATGCTGACACCATCCTCCAAAGGACGGTGCGGTCCCCAATCCCCAAAAGTGAGGAGGTGGCCCTGGGGTCCCCACAGCGCCCACCTGCAGAGCTCAGCTTCGGGTTCCGGTGTCCCACGGGGGCGGCCAGGGGGGGTCTCAGCAGCGAGGCTGCGCGTCCGCTGCCGCACGGCTTCAGCAATGCTACGGGATGGTGGTGGGGCCGTGCCGGATCCGGAGCCGTTCTTGGGATGCTGTGATGCTCGGCGCAACCTGTACTGCTCCCAGTTGGGTGGAGGCGGGCGGGGGGGCGGGGGACCCTTTTTTTTGGGTAAACCCGGAGCCTCTGATTGCACCCGGAGGAAGTCCTTGCGGCCACGGGGGCTGGAGGGCTCCAGGTTGAGGTGGCTCTCAGAGAAGGCTCGGCCCCGCAGCGGGCGGTGCAGGGGCTCTGGGGGGGGCTCGGGGGAGCGGGGCGGCCGCTCACCATCCCAGGACAGGTCGTGCGTGGACGTGGTGCGGTAGCAGGGCGGCCACTCGGGCTCAGAGCTCTCAAAGCAGGGCCGGAAGGGGCCGAGCCGCTGGAAGCCTGGTTTGTAGTGGGTGAGCTCGCTGGGGAGAAAAAGCATCCAGTCAGCCCTCAATCGTGCCCACCCCTTTGCATGCGTGGTGGTGCCTGCAGCCCCCCAAACCCCGCACTGGCTCACCCAATGGACTGGCTGGTTTTCCTGCTTATCGCTGGTGGTTCCCACTCCTCCAGGGGAAATTCCTGCGTGGGGACGGAGAGGCGGCAGGAATCAAGTAGGATCCAGCAAGCCAGGACCCGATGCTCAACCCCAAATCCCCAAAGCACGGCTCACTCACCGGCATAAAGGCCTTTCGGGGTGCCCAGGCGCCGCTCTCATCCCGAGGCATGCAGCAGCAGTCGGGGCAGCGTGCCCATGGGTGGCAGCGGTAGGCATGGCCGCGGGGCAGCAGCGCCGGGCACATCTCCCCAGTGCAGTAGCGGCAAGGTTCGTGCATCCCAGGGGGAGCTCCATAGGGATAGGGGCAGCCCCGCAGATACTCCAGCTCGCCGTGCCTCGGCAGCACTTTGTAGTAGGGCTGCTGCTCCCGGCAGCACTCGCTGTAGGGTCCAGATACGCGGCGAGCGTCACGGTGCTCAGCGGTTGGGAAAGGGTCGGG